GGGGCTCAAGAGGCCTACATTGTCTTTTTTCCCCTTTTTGTCTACTGTCTCTGTCTCCGTGCAAGACATCTTTATTTCCGAGTCATAAAAGGCCGCTGCTGTTTGGCGACGTTACAGATGCCAGGCAGGTAGTCACGGTGGTAAACCTGGAGTCAGCTCTGTGACCTCTCTGTAAACTCTTGTTAAATTGACACTTTAAAAAGGACATCAACCCCCCCCCTCCCCCCCAAAAAAAAACCCAAAAAAAACAACAACCAATAACAACGAAACAAAAAGATAGAAAAAAAGTAAACTCTTGTTTAATGGACACTTTAAAGAGGACATCACCCACCCCCCCAAAAAAAAAAAAAAACTGAAATAAAAAGAGAGAAAAAAAGTGAACTTACCTACGCTGAGACACAACAGAAAGCACAGCACAGCAATGTGCACCAGGATTGTTTGAACCTTCATAATGTATGGCTGTGGACAACTTTACAACTTGTGGGACGTCTACAACAAATTCTCGATGGAATCTCGACGGGAAGAAGCTACAGGCAAGTCAAGATCGGCACGAATAATATCAGAATCTGTCTCCGATAGTCACTGAGATTGAATCATTCACCAACGAATTACGATTACTATATTATCGCGCAGTTGCTCAATTTGTACTGCTCTTGGCTGGAAAATCTTCAACTTCACCGACAAAATCTACGACTTCGGGAGTCTGTGACTGGCTTGAAGTTTCCACTGCTCCTGGCTGGAAAATCTTCACCGACAAAATCTACGACTGACGAGTCTACGATTGGCTTGAAGTTTCCACTGCTCAAGGCTGGAAAATCTTCACCAAGAAATTAGTCTATAATGACTGACGATTCTGTGACTGACGTGAAGTAAGCTATCAATCTGGCTGCTGCTAGCTGACTATCGCTATCTATGTTGCTCCAGACAGAATGTCTTCGTCGGATGCCGGTAGACTTGAGACCACAACACTCGCTCCCGCTCGCCCCTGTACGCTGCGGCTGGGATTCGACCATGGACTATAAACCCCCAACACGCAACTCACATCTCTTTTATATCATCCCGGCGAGGTGAAAACGGGCCCTGTCTCTTACTGTAAAACCTTGACAATTTCACCGGTTCTTATAATAAAATAAATCTCGCACACAACTTGTTTCCCTTTCATCACAAAGACGTGTGACAGTTTTCTGCTAGTTTGTTTTTTTTTTTTGTCATTGTGTTTTTTTTACAACGTTTGAAGAAATTGATTTTAATGAGGTCCAGGGCCCGAAGCTGTGTCTGTCGTCCTATATTTTGGCCAAACTTAAATGACCCCAAGGTCAAGGATGTGTTTAATTAAACAAGGGAGATCAAATACAAGGAACAAATAACGGGTTAAGACACTTTGGTTCTTTTCAACTGTTACAGAAGAATGCTTGGATCTCTGAAATATTGGGAGAGTTTTTATTCCCTCGTGTGTTTACATTTTTTAAGTTTCATGTTTATCCTGGGTCATTTTGAGTGCTAATTAATGAGGAATTGGGGGGGGGGAGGGGTGAAGTGTGTGTTAAAGCCCGAGGTATTACGCTGCTTCTCCGTCAGTGTATGCTGAAATCTATACTGAACAAATACATTAGTTAGACTCTTCAATCTGCCATATCGGAGATAGACATTAATGTGTAAGAAATCCACAGAACAATACCTAAAACAGAAAGTGGGACACAAGCAGCCGCAGTAGTCATAACGCTCATTTAAACCAGACTTAGGTCTGTTCTAAATAGTTTAATAACTTTATCTCTCTAAACCATACTGTTTAATCTTTGTCTTGCAACATAGCTTCAGGCTATCCTGATCCTGAAACAAATGGAAAACTTACTTCATTGTTACTTTACTTTACTTTACTTTCCCGATCTAACAGCCGTCAAGATTCTAGCCCTTCGGCCTGTCGATATGGCAAAGAATTACTTCATTATTAGACAAAATGACCACTGGGAAGCGTTTGCTTCGTGGAGTACGGAAGGGCATCGTACGTCAAGGCGTATGCCATGGCTAAATGAGAAGACCGGAGCAGGAAATGGACAGTAGAAGCCACAGAAAAGAGAGGCAGCAAAATCAAGCCTTCGACCCTCCTTCAGCCTTCATCTGCAACAAGTGTGGCAGAGACTGTCATGCTCGAATCTTTTGAACCTCTCCAGACGATGTTCTCGACAGGAGTGACATACAGGCGCAGCCATTGTCCCCCGAGACAGAAGAAGGCGACGACGACGAGACGAAATGAAATGTAGCTTTGGGGTGGTACGTGGCCTTCAACTACACACATTCAACAGTCTGTAGTCTTTGACAATAAAAGAAGCTTTTAAAATGTATCTAACTTTATCAATGTCTAATACATGTACCGGTATCAGTTTAGTATCGTCATCATCATAATAATAACAATAGATAGATAGTATTAGTACAGCTCTATACGCTTCACAAATCTATACTATTACCCCAGCAGACCTTAGGGTTTTCTGAAACAAACTCAACTTCCTGGGAAGCATACAGTACAAGCAGTCTTTAATAGGCGCTAAAACACTAACATACTGACAATATCTTTCGCTGTCTATGGCTAGGTATCCATTCCCACCTGGATGACGTGAGGAAAATTCGTGTAAAGTGCCTTTCCCAAGGCTCAAAAACATTTAATTTTAAAGTTTCAACGACACTAAAGCTTTGAAAGTCATCAAACTTAAACTCCGGCGTTCATTTTCTCGCTAATTTTACAACTTACACCAAGCAACCCCAACCTCCTTCAAATGTAAATATCTCGACTTCTTATCAAGATAGATAAAAGAAGTTTTCATGGAAAGCAAGATACAAAACAAGCTATCTGCCCAGAACTGACGAGTGCCTGATTCCACCGTGTTGTGACACATATCATGGAAAAGTGTCTTCAAGACTTGGTCCTAAGAGAGCTGCAGCAACTACTGACGTGTCGCTCATTTCAAGTAAATGCAAAAGAGAATTCGTTTCCGTCGCTCCTCCTCCTTTTCTCTCTCTCTCTCTCTCTCTCTCTCTCTCTCTCTCTCTCA